AGGCGTTATTGGTCAACGTAGTCGAATTTAAAACTCACCAAAAGGGCATACTGGTCCATTCGCAGCTAGTCCCAATGCCCTATATATGCATGCCTCGTCTCCTATCACCAAACCAGATCCTCAACTCTTTGGACAAAGAGCTTGACGGTGCCGACACCTCAAAAACACAAGAAGGAGAGCATCTGAGTTTGTAGGTTTAGCAAGAAGGTTAATTGATGGCTTTCTTTTGCAGGAACGTGTTCATTCTCGTGCTGGTCATCATCTTCATTGTAGTGGTTAACTCTGCAGAATTTGGAGCAGCGAGGCCTCTAGAAGAGGCACTTTTGCAGTCTCTTCCGCGAGGCTCGCACCACCCCAGTCCCGATCCAATTCATTCCTAATTGAGATGCTTGCTCAATTATCGCATTCTTTCATCATCTTAGCAAGCTGCCAAGCTGTGTTATTTTAGGCTCCCGTGTCCTCTTGTTTATTTTCAATTATTTATTCAGCAGAAGCTGTAATCCAATAAAACGGTGATAACATTGTCATAGTTATGTTTATGCTTTATGCTCCATTACACACTTTATTTGGTTGCCCTGGGCCTGATCTTTCTGGTGATTGCATGATTCATGCTGAATGTGATTCATTTTTTTTTTTTTCACTCTGCCAGCCCCCCTATTCTTATTTCGACTACTGTTATAATTCCTCATCGGCTGGGACTGGCTGCTAACCTGTGCATGTCTATCTGCTGACAGAAATGTTTTGGTCATGAAGAGGTCTTCAAGCAAAAACATGAGCAATATATATATATATATATATTATAAGAGTGCAGTGTTTTGAATGTGGATTATCATCACTTTTCTAAGGTTGGTCGCTTTAACGTAACCTCATTACCCGTTTGAGTTTTATGTATACCTTTCTGCAATTGAGTTAGGTCGGGCTCTCGTTTTTCAACTAATAAGAGTTTGTAGTAATTTTCTTGTTTCGTTTGCATTCCTTCCTCGCCATTTGAATCGCATTTCACACGACCCGGTTTTGCCGTTCTAGTTACGTGCCTTCCCTACATTCTAAAACCATTCAATTTTCCAGGTTCCAACAGAGTAATGTAAAATATATACTCTTTTCATTCAAGAATGCAAGATATATTTTGAAGAATTAAATATTAAAAAATATAAGGCATTTTTAGTCTTTTAAGGTGTAATCATTATCTTTTTTTTAAAATACCCCTATTAATAGTGACTTTATATATATTATAAGGTGTTCAATAGGAATAAATATGAAAAAATAGAGTTAGTTTGAAAGCAGGTAACTACTTTATTGGGAGGTGAGATTTGATTAAAAATATTTTATATTTTTGAACGGAGGGGGTATATATATATATATATATATATCAGTGCACGTAGTCATTGTTCCAGCAAGCAGCTTGCTACTTTTTAATTCTTGATCTCTCTTGACTTGATTTGGCCTTGCTAGTCAATAATCACCAGATCAAATTACGAGATCATCTTCGGTGCTCAGCATACGAAGGTGCTCATCGCCATTCGCACCGTTTCATTAAAGAGAACAAATCTGGGCTGTCCGTGAAGTTTTAATCTTAGCCATTAATTATTTTTATTTCACTAAACTTTTAATAAAATAAGGATGTTCAGTTCCCAACCCCTGTTCGACGCCATGGACCATTTGCTCTCTTGCTCTGTCGGCATCAGCGATGCTCTCTTACCCCTTCAACCATCAGCGGCGCTCTCTTACTCTATCGGCCATCATCGATTGTGGCCGGTAAGTTACTGCTTATTCTTTCACTTTTCAACCGATGGGATTCTGGCTATTAAAATAGTCTCAAAGAAATCACATAGTTTCCATGATCCAGTTTCTGCCACTGTCAGGTTTAGTGTTGTGTTAGTATCCAACCTTCTAAGTTTATAGATATGGCTATTTTTTTGTTTAGTTTTGTTTGGAGAATATTGCCACTGATTAGTTCACTTTTAAATCATCCTTATTGTTTGCTCACTTAATTCCACATGTTATCAACCTTACCTAATTTTTTTATATTTATAAGTTTAATGCTGATGAAAAGACTTGATTTTTTCTTTAGTTTCTTCTTATATATATAATAATTTTATGGGATAAATCCTTGCGGCCACTATGCACAAGATTTGGATTATTTTAAAATGCTTTTAATGAAGTAAGTCTAATGATTGGATCATAAAGAACCTATGGCAGAAATTGTTTTGCAGACACATTTCTAGTTTTGATTTTTGTTTTCTTCTACAGTTTTCCATGTGTGCAATTTCAATGCATGCTAAATTATTTTTCTCAATAATCCATCATCCATTTTATCTGGAAATTTTACCTTGGACATGAATACGGGTCTGTTTCCTATTAATAGCAGATAAAATCTTAAATGTAATGCATCTAAACCTTATGGACTCTGGATGCTTGGCATTTAAGTACTGTTACCTTTTTATGATCATTCTAATGGTTGACTATTTCCTCCAGATCTTTTTCCCTTGTTTGATTTGTTTATTCTTGTATTTGCCAAAGCTTATGATACACTCTCCTTAAACTGAATAACTGAACCAAGCAACAGAATTTAGCATTGGGTGGATTTGTTATTCATCTTCCTTCCCCTCCCCCTATCCGAATTAATTATCAGTTAGGTCAGTTGGAAAGTTTTTAAGGTGGCACTGCAAAATCTTCTAGTGGCATTGAGATTAACCAATGGAATTGATTGCTTCACTTCTTCAACATATACAGTTGGTAAAAATTTTTTTAGAAAAAGTGTAGTTGAAAACTTTTGAATTATTTTAGAAACATCTATCTCAAAATTAAGAACAGCAAGTATCATGAGAGAAAACACTTACAACAAGCAATAACACAAGATTAGCTCACAATATTAGATAAAGAAGTAGCATCCACAGTGCATAGGTTAAGATATATCAATACTTTGCATGAGGTCATATTTCACATGTACATTTCCAGCTAAATATTGTGAAGGATAGAAATTGATTTGCTAAATATTGATTTGCTTGCAGGTTGCTGGTAAATGATTGAAGCAAAGCAAGCGCCATCCTATAAAAATTTATCCTTTGAGCTGTGCAAAAAGTCAGAAAGTGTCCATTGAAGTGTAAACCAAACAACCTCTAAAAGCTAAAAGTCAAAAGTTGTCATGTACAATGCTAAATTGCAAATTAGTGAAGTGTAAAGCAAGCTGTCCCCAAAGCTAAAAATAGTTCAGTGTGTATTTTACTGCCCTGTATGAAGAAGAAATTATGTTATTAATTAGGTTTGTAACATGTGTAGAATATGAGATTGAAATGCATAGAGATTGGTTTTGTTCATCAAAATCAAATTGTATATGACATTTTTGAAATGAATAAAGTTGTATTTTTATGTATATTGTGTACATATATTTTCCTATTCGTTACCTTGTGAGTAGTTTGTCATGAGATCTATGACATCAAGTGATGAAATTTCACTACCTTGTGCCTACATTTGCAAATGTTAGTGATTGTGACATGAAAACAAGATTACAATATATAACACTTAGTCGAAACTAATGTATTGATTCATACCATTAACAAAGTTGTAAATGACAATGATTGTGATGTAGAGGGTGGAAAAATATGTTGTGCTAGAGGAATTGTGTATGAAAAGGTTGAATCTTGTGTTTGTGCAGGTGGTGTTGGAGCCTCTAAATTTGAAACTGTTGAAACTTGAGTTTGTGTATCTTTAATTTGATCAACTTTTCTTCTTTTTTTGATGATGAAGCCTTTTCTTTTTCCTCAAACTTCTTTTCAAATGGTGAAGCCTCTTGAGAGTCCTATAAAAAAAAATACAAGATAAGTTATAGCTTCTTTTTGTTTTATATATAAATTAAAATTCAATACCTTTGATGCAACTCTTCTTCTTTTTTTTTAAATTCTTCTCCTCCCAACCTTTGTAATGTCTTTTTCTTGATTTTCCATCTCTTTTTTTGAACCCCTTTGGCATATTTTGTGACTTTATGACTGGTTCAGAATTATCATTTTCATCGCCATTAGAAATCTCATTTTCTAACTCAATGACACATCTATGCACACGAGTAAATCTTCAAGTGTCATGGCTGCCTTTGATGCCAGTCTTCCCATCATAAGCATTAATTGTCTATACCTATATGTAATGTCAAGTCTAGGATCTACTTGAATCTCATTTCCTCTAATATCATGGACAATACTAGACCTTGCTTCTTTGGTCCAGCGCTTTAGAATATACTATGCAGGCATAATTCTTACATCCTTTGACTCGTATACTTTTAATGCATGACAACATAATATCCTTGTAGTCTCAAACTTTTGACAAGTGCAAGAAATTTCATGCGTGTCAAGTTTGAACTCAACTCTCCATTCCCCTTCCTCATTAATCATATGGGTAGTATATATGAACAATGAATCTTTATTATTATAAGTAGATAACTCCACAGAGAATTGGAGATCCCATTGTTCTTGGAACATCTCAAAGATAGTAGGGGTATACACTTGCATGAGTTGATGTAGGATAGGTGCACTTTGATTGACCATCCTAGAAATCTTTTGTTGAGATTCATACTCAAGTTCTACTTCCTTGTATCGCTTCTTTGCTACAACCTTGTCAAACTTTTTAAAGAATCAATTGATGTCCAATTTTGGCCTCGTACATCTCTTCATATCAGCATTCACACTTTTACTAATCTGTGTGCTTCTTATACCTAGTGTGTGAGCATCCTTCACATAACACCAAGCCCATTTCTCCTTAACATCATAAGTAGAGTTCAACCACCCATTTTCTTGGATATTTTAAGAAGATAATAATTAGATCCATTCTTCTTAAAACTTGTCTATGTCAACATAATTAAACATGCATTTCTTAAAATCAATAAAAAATTGTGACCCTTCTTTCATCAAGTTCCCAAGGTGTTTAATACCATTTTTCAATAAATGGCAACTACATAAATAATGTTTTGTATTAGGAAGAACTTCACGCAATGCTCTTGCCATAGCCTGATCTTAATCTGTAAATACAGCTTGAGGCTTATTTTGTATGTGAGCATCCAAAAATATTTCTAGTAACCACTTGAAAGACTCAATAGTCTCATCATACAACAGCGCTGCTCCAAAAATGACCACACTTCTGTGATGATTGAACCCAAAAAAGAGTGCAAGGGGTCGATAATTTTGATTAGTGCTGTATGTTGTGTCCAATGATACAACCTCACCAAAATGTGCATAATCTATTAGCATACGAGCATCAGCCCAAAAAACATTGGTGATGTGTTGGTCTGAGTCTAACTGATATTTGTGGTAGAATGCTGAATTTTTTGCAATTTGTTTTTGAAAATATTGAAGCAGACATCCTACCTCTTCAAACTTCATACATCTCTTCTTTTTGGACTCTAAGTAGTTATTTGCATCTTTCATCGTGTATCCAAGATTTTCTTGTCCATCAGCATATGTACTCATTAAATCAAAAGTAGCCCTTGGTTCAACCCCAGATTCTTCTGCAAGATCTATCTCATATGCCTGAGCTTCTGATAAATTTCTCTGGGATGGTAACAAGCAAACCGTGTCTTCTGTATGAAGAGGGTGATTATGCTCTTTATCAAACACAGTAATTTTGAACTTTTGCCTAATAAGAGATACTACCATTCTTGCCTTACATTGGGTCCTTGTTTCTGGCCTATGTATAGAAGAATATATTCTTTTTTCATTTTTTCTCCGAACACCTTCCTTGCAACATAAATATCTATATGTGATAATAATTGACTTATCCTTTCTACTCTTTGTAGAAGTACCTTTTCTAACTCCAAATCCATTCCTTTTACCATATTCTCTCCAAAACTCCCATGCCTCATCTAAACTTTCAAATTCTCTCCCTATTTTGGGTTCTGATTCATCCTCTACTTGCATGGTCCTTGCATAGAACAAAAGTATTATATATATATATATATATATATATTTATACAAGTTTTTCAAAAAAAAAAAAGGGACGTAACAGAACACACACATATCATTATTATTTTATATATATATATATATATAACAGAACACACACACACACATAGAGACTTGATAACACAATTTTAATTTTGTTCCTCAATCATTTCCTTTCTTTTGTCTTATTTTGTTATATTATATATATATATATATATTTCATACAATATCACATTTGGTATTTATCTATTTAGTTTTGCTAATCTCTTAAGCTATCTCTAATTCGAGTTAAAAAAAGAAGGACAAGAAGAACAGTCATAGAGAGCTTGAGCATTCTAAAAAAGAAGAAGATGATGATGAAGAATCAGCTCTGTGATAAAGCCTACCATAAAATGGCCAGAATGAAGACGCAAGGTCCCTCCCTCCACTAGAGTTACACTGTTACAAAATGCTTTGCATAGACCTGGAGCTCAATGAAAGATGAAAAAAAAGGTGCCAAAACAATATATTCCTCCCTCCCTCCTATTAATTTTATAAAATGAGGTTGAAGGCGTCGAATAGAGTTGAGGAGCTCAACATCCTTATTTTATTAAAAGTTTAATGAAATAAAAATAATTCATGGCTAAGATTAAAACTTCACGGACGGCCCAGATTTGTTCTCTTTAATAAAACGGTGCGAATGGTGATGAGTAAATTTGTGCTCAGCATACAAAAGATGATCCCATCATATTATAGTTCATCATGGGCTGGCTGGCTGGCACATGCAGTATTATAATTTTTCCATACAACCAGTAAGCTAGCACTCCACGAGCTGCTTTTTGGTCATGTATGGGTTAGGACGACATGATCTCTTGCCATTTTGTCATGTATGATCCGCCTATATTCCATACTTTATGTAAATGTGGAGCACAAAACAACGTCTAGAGTTCCGATCAATAAATGAAGGGGGGAAAATCAATTTTAAACAAAGCTAGATATTCTTGTATTTATTGCCCCCATGTTTATCAATGTATTTCATTAGGTTTCAAACGATGTTAGCTTTAAATTATAAAATATTTTTAAAAAATATTTAATGTTTTAAAATATAAGATATTTTAATCAAAATAAAATTTTATTAATTTATTAATATATGTAATTTTATCTAAAACTATCTTATGAATTAAAACAGAAGAACTACACTGTTTGAGAGATTTTAAGTTATTATCTTTTTCTTCATACATTGCACCATCAAAGAAAAGCTATATATAATTAGTCTTATATACTTAAGATGTTTGTTTTTAATTAAATTAAGACAAGTTTTTTTATAAATTATCTATTTTATAACAAATTTTTGTCATTATATTAGTCACACATTAACATATATTCCCCCTATTTTTATTTATAGGAGAAACTATTATTTTTAATTTATTTTTTATATAAATAAAATTATATTTTTCAATAGGCATTTGTTGTAAATTTTCTAAATTACCCTAATAATTTTATCATTCATAGTCATAAAAAAATTAATTAAAACTTGATTATCACAATTAATAAAGGATATTGTAGTCTAATTTCTTTATTTTCAGACACAATTAATATAGTTAATTAGTTTTTTTAAACCGTATGATATAGTTTTTTCTTTACAAATAGAAACGAAGGGAGTATCTGCCTTGATTTAATTAGATAAAAGTATATTATATATATAAGATTAAATACATAAATCTTAAGGTTTAATGAGAAAATTAAAATTGACTCTAAAGTATTGTTTGAAAAGCACTCTGAACCTGAAAGTCTTAAAATATGTAAAACGGACCCTCAACTTTTAAATTCATAACATTTTAAACTCCACCATTATCTTTTTGTTAACTCCATTACTATTCACCATACTGCTCACCATGGGCCTAGTCAAATGCTGATGTAGCAGTCCCATGTTGATATGTCATTTGTTAATTAATGTTATAGACCTTAAACTATTATGCAAGTAGCATCTTAAACTTTAAATTTTGAAATTCCAAGCAAATTACCCTTATAATTTATGTATAAAATGTGAATTATTATGTAAACCAAATTTATCTAAGTGTGGTCCGCCACAATGAATGCATTGTTGGCTACGGCAAACGACCCATAATTTTGTAAAAATGACTTTTTTGCCCATTTTTTTGCAATGTTTTCACACGATGGGTATCTCATGTTTTCATATACTTTATAACTCTGATTTAATCTTATTTTGAATAAAAAAATAATATTTATTTATTTAATAGTGAAAACTTGAGATCCCATTTGAAAAGAAGTTTAAGAGGATTTTATAAATGATAGATGTGAAAGCCAACGATTTCATCAATGAATTTAATACCCGAATTAACTGATTAATTAAAATCTTCTTATATTTACACTTCTTTTCAAATAAGATCTCAAGTTTTTAATATTAAATAAATAAATATTATTCAAAATAAGATTAAATCAAAGTTATAGAGTATACAGAAGCATGAAATATCAATCGTTTGGAAAGTATTGCAAAAAAAAAAAGCAGCAAAAAATATCATTTCACAAAAGTATGAGTCGTTCACTACGGCCAATGATGCGTTTACTATGACAGATCACATTAATGCTAATTTAATCTACATAATAGTTAACGTTCTATACATAAACAATGAGGGTAATTTGCTCAATATTTTAAAATTTATGGTCCAGAACACTACTTGATCAATAGTTTAAGATTTGCGACACTAATTAATAAATGACATGTCAACAAGGGACTACCATGTTAGCATTTGACTGGGGTCCCACGGTGAACAATACAGTGATCAATAGTTTAAAATGTTATAAATTTAAAAGTTTAGGATCAATTTTATATATTTTAAGAGTTTAAGGTTCACGATACTTTTTATGTAATACTTCAAGATTTATTTTGATTATTAATCTAAATTTTAAAAAAGTGAGCCATTACAAAATCATCACAGCGGCCTATAAATCACGTTTCCGTTAAAGAAGCAATTTATGATAAGATTGGGATATTGTCAAGGAAAAGGAAAGGAATAAAAATCAATTCAAGGCAAACGCGTGTTCATTTAATTGAAAATTTCCACGTATGTTTCTGACAGAAAAACGAGGCTCTTGGTCTTGATGCATTTGATTTTGAAGACCTAACTACTTCCTCCGTTTTTATTTGTTAAAAAAAAAATGTCACTTGTAATTTATTTTTTATAAATAAAATCAAATATGTCAATAAATATTTATTAAATATTTCTTAATTAAATTATTCATCATAATTCATTTTATGGAAAAACAATTATCGCATGCTCATATTGATTAAGATACGTATTTTTGATTAATTTTTTATTTTTAAATATAATTATTATAGTTAATCAATTTTCTTAAATTATATAATACAGTTATATATATATAAAAATGGAGGAGTAGTACACCATCATACTATTAATTTGTACAATTATATTAATTAATTACTCAGGTCTCCACGGGTCTAACTCGGACTTTCAATTCAAAATCAGAAAATGAAACAGCCCTCCTCATTACACACTCGGTCGCCGTCTCGTGCGCAGATATCATGTTGATTATTAATTACTCATATTTTTTTTTAGAGAGCTATTAATTACTCAATCAGCGCCATTCATTTCATGCTCGCGTTTACATGACTACCGCTTATGAATTTTGGTTATACATATTTCAACGTTTATTTTTTTCATTCCTTCTCGTTTTCTCTCTAGGCGTGGGACATAACTGAATTGGTGGGTTTCGCGATTTTTCATTTATTGCGGAAGATATCACACTTTTTTTTTTTTGAAGAGTTTAAAGAAAATCTTGCGAGAATCTTGCAAGAATACATTATTTCCATCTAACTCTGCCTTCGTTGTGAGGAAACCATATATTTTATTTTTCCGTGTTTGAAAAACGACTTTAAACTGTGGAAAGTGACATGCATGTTGCTTGTTATAGTAAGTTTGAAGTGATTTTTTTTTTGTCCAGACGTATCTTTTTATTGATGGTAATTATGTCCATGATATTGTTGAGTATAAATGTGGGTATCTATCTCAACAAAAATTCAAACATTAGTTCATCACATTGTGAGGAATTAGCTTTATTCCACTAAATCAACCCCTTCGTTGACCCGCATATGCAAATGCACTTTTTTTTTTGGTATAAGGAGAGCCCAATAATACATAAACTTAAAAAGTATCTAATCAAATAACTTAAATTATATTTTAGTGGAGTATATTATTTTTAAGCATACTTACATATAAGAAATCTAACAACACATACTCTTCTGATTTATTAATAAAGTAGACAGAGAAGATTAATTTTGGTTTTATTATAGACACTTTTTTATTTTAATATTTATTTTTACTTTTCTGTCCATATTAAATGTCAAAAAAATTATTAAAAATAATTCTTTTGTTTTTATTAGGAGCAGAGCTAGAAGCTTGTTTAATTTCAAGACAAAATTAATTTTGTTAAAATATGCAAAAAATAACTTATAATTAAAACCAGTTAAAGTCCATAACTGTTTGGGATCCAAGTTACGTGTTTGATTCGTTCAATTTCAAGCTTCAATCCATGAACTGTCAAGTCGGACAATAGATTTTTAAACCACACAATACAATACAGTAAAGATCGATAAGAATAAGAGACATGTCATACAAGTTAAAATCTAATAACAATACAAAGACACCAATAAATCAAAGTCTACTCCACATGTCGCGTGCCATACAAGTTAAAAT